TGGCTTAGATTTGCCAAGTTCTGCCCTGTATCATTAGGACTTCCCTGGTGGCTCAGACGGTAAACTGTAATTCAGCCTGAAAGTACATTCTCCAAGGTTCCAATCTAGTTCCCTCCACAGCTGTTTGGATCAACCAGAACAAAAGATCACAACCTGATTACTGTGCCAAATACTCAATGCACAGTTTCACTTTTTTTTCTGATGAAAGTGATTTCCCATACTCTCTGGAAACACATAGCATATTCTCTCAACAACCAGGCATTATGTTTAAATATCCATTGCATGATATTGTGTGACACATTCTCTTCTGCTCAGTCTTGGGGCGCCAAATGCAAAAAGAGAATCCTCGAAAACCAAACACCATTTATTCTAAGACAAACCCAGTATGATTTCACTTATATGTGAAATCTAAAACAAATGAACACTCTCATAGAAAAAGATATCAGATTTGTGGTTACTAGAGATGGAGGATACATGGAGTTGCAGGAATTGGATGATAGTGGTCAAAAGGTATAAATTTCCAATTATAGGATAAGCAAGTACTGGAAGGGTTGCCCTGATGGTTCAATGGTAAAGAATCTGCCTGCCAATGCAGGAGATATGGATTCAATCCCTGATCCGGGAAAATCACACATGCTGCAGAGCAACTAAGCCCATGCACCACAACACAACTACTGAGTGTGTGCCTAGAGCCTGCGAACCACAACTACTGAGCCCACATGCCACAACTATTAAAGCTAATGTGCTCTAGAGGCCTTACTCTGCAACAGGAGAAGACATAGCAATGAAAAGCCCCTGCACTGCAACTATTGAGCTTATGCTTTAGAGCCTGGAAACTACAACTACTGAACCCACGCGCTCAACTACTGAAGCCTGCATGGCTAAAGCTAATGATTCTCAATAAGAGAAGCCACTGCAATAAAAAGCCTGCACACTATAACTAGAGCATAGCCCCCTCTCATTGCAACTAGAGAAAAGCCTGCACAGCAATGAAGACTCAGCCCAGTCAACAATAAATAAATAAATATATTTTTTTAAAGTATACCATGATGACTACAGTTAACACTGCTACATGATATATTTGAATATACAAGCAACTCCTGCAGCTCTATTCCAGAAAAATAAACAGCTCAATCAAAAAATGGGTCAAAGAACTAAACAGACATTTCTCCAAAGAAGACATACAGATGGCTAACAAACACATGAAAAGATGCTCAACAGAAAAGGGAACCCCCTTACACTGTTGGTGGGAATGCAAACTAGTACAGCCACTATGGAGAACAGTGTGGAGATTCCTTAAAAAACTGGAAATACAACTGCCATACGACCCAGCGATCTCACTGCTGGGCATACACACCGAAGAAACCGGAATTGAAAGAGACACGTGTACCCCAATGTTCATTGCAGCACAGTTTATAATAGCCAGGACATGGAAGCAACCTAGATGTCCATTAGCAGATGAATGGATAAGAAAGCTGTGGTACATATACACCATGGAATATTACTCAGCCGTTAAAAAGAATACATTTGAATCAGTTCTAATGAGGTGGATGAAACTGGAGCCTATTACACAGAGTGAAGTAAGCCAGAAAGAAAAACACCAATACAGTATATTAATGCATATGTATGGAATTTAGAAAAATGGTAACGATAACCCTATATTCAAGACAGCGAAAGAGACACAGATGTATAGAACAGTCTTTTAGACTCTGTGGGAGAAGGCGAGGGTGGGATGATCTGAGAGAATAGCATTGAAACATGTATATTATCATATGTGAAACAGATTTCCAGTCCACGTTTGATGCATGAGACAGGGTGCTCAGGGCTGGTGCCCTGGGATGATCCAGAGGGATGGGACGGGGAGGGAGATGGGAGGGGTTTCAGGATGGAGAATACATGTAGGTCCATGGCTGTTTCATGTCAATGTATGGCAAAAACCACTACAATATTGTAAAGTAATTAGCCTCCAATTAAAATAAATATTTTTTTAAAAAATGAAAAAAGAGAAAGTGATTTTGGATAAGTCAAAAAAAAAGAAAAGAAAGAAAGAAAGTTGTTAGGAGAGTAGATCCTAAGAGCTCTTGTCAGAAGAAAAAAAAAAAAAACTTTCTTTTTTCTGTATCTATATGAAATAACTAATGTTAGCTAAATTTTTTCACAGCAAATATAAGTCAAATCATTGTGCTGTCCACCTTAAATTTACATGGTTCTGTAGAGCAATTATATCTCAATAAGACTGGGAGGAAAATCACTTTAGAAACTAAGATGAATCTGGTTTTCAGGACATCATCTGTTCTTTCATTTGCATCAATCAGACAGTAAGATAACAACTGCATCCAAAGGTCTATGGTGCCAGGTTAAGTGTTCAGAGAATTGGAGAATAATAATTAGCTCACATAGGAAATTTAGGAATCATCTTATCCAAACCCATTCATTTTGATACAAACCAACCCAGGTCTCCACAACCTATAGATGGAGATGAGATTCTCTGGCTCAGACGGTAAAGCACCTGTCTACAATGCTGGAGACCTGGGTTCAATCCCTGGGTCGGGAAGATCTAGAGAAGGAAATGGCAACCCATTCCAGTGTTCTTGCCTGGAAAATCCCATGGACGGAGGAGCCTGGTAGGCTACAGTCCTTGGGGTGGCAAAGAGTCGGACATGACTGAGCGACTTCACTTTACATGTATATAAATTATAAAGCATGTGTCAAGCAGGGAACTACTCTTCTTCAAAATATATATCCTCCAATTACTTCTGAAAATCCACAAAATTTTTCTCACGGGAAATTTAAAATGAGTCTGACTGCTTTAAGTGACCACACCTTTCCCAATCCTATTTACTCTAATTTCCATCGATTGACATGTCCATTTACTGCAGTTTAGAGTCAGGAGTATAATTGGGTATACACCTCTGAAACCTAATTCCTGGGGTCAAATGAGCCTGACTATTCCCTAACTGTATAAAAGAGCAAGTAATTTAACCTCTCTATGCCTGGAACAAATGAAGAAACTGTTCTTAATGTGCTCACAAGGATTCCCTGTGACTATTCTTCAAGGTCTTAGCACAGAGGGTGCAAACAGAAACACCATCTCCTAGTCTTGCCTTGAAAAAGGCCTATTTGCATACTTCAAAAGCTGCAAATGGGGCTAAGTAGGGGAAAGATGCCATCTGCTTAAGAACAAAGGGTAAAACATGCTTATTGTGTTGTGTACACAATGGAAAGATGTTCTGAGGGGAGAGGGGAATCTGTTGGAACAGAAACAGAAGGAAGAAAGGAAATGAGGATGATAGAGAAAGTAATATCAGATAAATAAAATAAATAAAATCAGATAAAGTAATGCATATAAAATGTCTGCTGAATATTTAGTAGTCAATATCTTCTTCTCGTGGTCTTCCCTGGTGGCTCAGAAGGTAAAGAATTCACCTGCACTGCGGGAGACCTGGGTTCGATCCCTGGGTTGGGAAATCCCTGGAGGAGGTTATGGCAACCCACTCCAGTATTCTTGCCTGGAGAATCCCCATGGACAGAGAAGCTTGGTAGGCTATAGTACATGGGGTCGCAAAGAGTTGGACATGACTGAATGACTAAGTGCACATCTTCTTCTTAGTATTGCTATTATTTGGTAATCCACTATTAATTAGGGAAGGTGTTTTTATTATTTCTTAACAGATCTGAGTATACATATATATTCTTCAGTCGCTAAGTTGTGTCTGACTCTTTGCAACCACATGGACTGCAGCACGCCAGGCTTCCCTGTCCTTCACTATCTCCCAGTTTGCTCAAACTCATGTCCACTGAGTCAGTGATGCCATCCAACCATCTCATTCTCTGTCATCCCCTTCTCCTCCTGCCTTCAGTCTTTCCCAGAATCTGCAACTCTTTTCCAACGTGTCATCTCTTTGCATCAGGTGGCCAAAATATTGGAGCTTCAGCATCAGTCCTTCCTGTGAATATTCAGGATTGATTTCCTTTAGAATTGACTGGTTTGATCTCCCTGCATAACCTAAAACGGTAAGCATTCACCAAATGTTTGTTATTTTTATTTACAAGGTTGTCACATAAAACTATACATCTGCCATTTCTGATGGTGCTCCTTCGTGGTAGTGCCAACATCAATGCCAAGAGTGTTTTACCTGATGCCACAAATCTTCAAGGTGACAGAGCAGTACTGAGACAGGAAAAGACACAAAGTGTAACCTTTTCAAAGTTTGTGACAAACTTTGATACCTGGGTTAAGAAGTCTCAATCAGTCGTAACCCTGAAGCAGCAGCTTTTGAAGTATGCAAATAGGCCTTTTTCAAGGCAAGACTAGGAGATGGTGTTTCTGTTTGAACCCTCTGTGCTAAGACCTTGAAGAATAGTCACAGGGAATCCTTGTGAGCACACCAAGAATTGTTTCTTCATTTGTGGAAACAGTGGCTGACTTTATTTTTCTGGGCTCCAAAATCACTGCAGATGGTGATTGCAGCCATGAAATTAAAAGCCGCTTACTCCTTGAAAGGAAAGTTATGACCAACCTAGACAGCATATTAAAAAGCAGAGACACATGCAGGACAGAAAAAGAGACACAGATGTATAGAACAGACTTTTGGGCTCTGTGGGAGAAGGCAAGGGTGGGATGATCTGAGAGAATAGCATTGAAACATGTATATTATCAAGTGTGAAACAGATCACCAGCCCAGGTTAGATGCATGAGACAAGTGCTCAGGGCTGGTGCACTGGGAAGACCCAGAGGGATGGGGTGGAGAGGGAGGTGGGAGGGGGGACCGGGATGGGGAATACATGTAAATCCATGGCTAATTCATTTCAATGTATGACAAAAACCACTGCAATGATGTAAAGTAATTAGCCTCCAACTAATAAAAATAAATGAAAAAAAAAAAAGCAGAGACATTACTTTGCCAGCAAAGGTCTGTCTAGTCAAGGCTATGGTTTTTCCAGTGGCCATGTGTGGATGTGAGAGTTGGACTATAAAGAAAGCTGACAACTCTTCGGAAGGTCAGTAACTGGACACAGAAGATGGCAGAGCTGGGTGAGGTGGACGAAGCCGAGTTGCAACGCCTGGTGGTGACCGAACAGCAGAAAGCGCAGTTCGCTGCACAGGTGCATCACTTCATGGAGCTATGTTGGGATAAATGTGTGGAGAAGCCAGGGAATCGCTTAGACTCTCGCACTGAAAATTGTCTCTCTAGCTGTGTGGACCGCTTCATTGACACTACTCTTGCTGTCACCAGTCGGTTTGCCCAGATTGTACAGAAAGGAGGGCAGTAAGCCATCCCCTGGAAGAATGACAGAAGCAGCAAAGGACTTATTAAGCAGACTGAAGGGTCAGTGGGGGAAGGTTGTCAACCCTCTGTCAGGTTAACTTCAGGCTATTACCAAGCCTGTTGGTGCTAAAAAGTAACAGATCAAATGTTCAAAAAGTGAAATTTATTTATTGGGAATTCAGAAATTCCATCTTGTATCACAACAATTTATTCAATAAATGTTGAATTCTCCAAAAAAAAAAAAATTAAATAAAATAAAATAGAAAGAAAGCTGAGTGCCAAAGAATGGATGCTTTTGAACTGTGGTGTTGGAGAAGACCCTTGAGAGTCCCTTGGACTGCAAGGAGATCCAACCAGTCCATCCTAAAGGAGATCAGTCCTGACTGTTCATTGGAAGGGCTGATGTTGAATCTGAAACTCCAATACTTTGGCCACCTGATGCAAAGAGCTGACTCATTTGAAAAGACGCTGATGCTGGGAAAGATGGAGGGCAGGAGGAGAAGGGGCTGACAGAGGATGAGATGGTTGGATGGCATCACCAGCTCGATGGACATGAGTTTGGGTAAACTCTGGAAGTTGGTGATGGACAGGGAGGCCTGGCGTGCTGCGGTTCATGGGGTCGCAAAGAGTCGGACACGACTGAGCGACTGAAATGAACTGAACTGAACTGTGATTATTATGTATGCAAGCCCTGTTGGTTTTCAGAGCAATGTATTTTGGGGGATCTATTCCACATGTGTAATTCTTAAAAGTTGGGGCACTAGATGTTTGATCCAAACCTCTTGCTCTTCAAGAAGAAGCTGGGAGTTAAGAGTTCCCTCCTGATTGTACATAGCTATTCTGGGAGTAGGGTTTATAGGCAGAGTGTGCCTCAGTTTTTCTCACCCATATCAGAGTGAGTATATTCTCATTTGATATGTAGAAGTCACTCAGCTGTTTTCTGGATTTCTTTCAGAGGAAATTGTTCTGTTTGTAGCTATAGATTTGGTGTTTTTGTGAAGGAAGTAATTTCAAGAGCCTTCTATGTTGCCACTTGGACCAGGCTTCAATCTCTTATTTTCTTAACTATCTTTACACTAAAGTACAAAATATTTCATATAAAATAATACAGCAATTTTCATCTTGTAATAAAACATAAAAATACGTCTTTTGCCTACTGCTGTTTTATCTTAGCTAATGCTTGTGAAAACAACAGAAGAAAAAGAAGAAAAGGAAGAGGAGGAGAAGGAAACAGAGAAGAAGAAGAAAAATAATAAAAACCTGTGCCACAATTTCCAGAGTAGCATTAGAGAAAAGGGATATCACCATTTTTCTTCATATGTCTATCTCATAAAATGTTTAGTTGCCTTTTCATTGAAGCATTTCTGTCTACAGCATGAATTACAAAATTTTGAAAGTCTGCTCATTCTCTGTCAGAAAATACATTTTTATAAAATGATGCTGTGGGGAATGAAATGAATTTCATTGCCTAATATCATCCTTTTAAATTTACAAAAGCCAAGAAGTAAATTTCATTGGAAGCTTTTTCCCCTTGAATGAGAAGATATTCTGAATTCCCAACTTTGTTAATGAGCTACTGGAAAGTAAACACATTTATTCTCATTGAAAGTGAGAAATCAGTCCTTTTCTTCAACTAATTAACTCATCTATCTCTAAAATTTTGATGGTTGATTTAGTAAACATGCAGTTGATTTTATCCAAACATCATATTTTAAATTAAATGAACCAATTTTAGCCTGAACATGATGCTGCTTGGGTGGAAAAATAACAACAAATACAATAGATTTGTCTGTCCTTATATTTGGTTACATGTTTTAGCTAAAACAAAATGTTTAGGCCAAAATGAGAATGCTAAAGTAGTTATAAATTTTAGGTGCTATATATGAATACCAGGATTTCATTTTTAAATTTCAAAGTACCTCAAAACAAAATTCTTATTTGATTTTATGAATGATTGAATTTTTAAAAAGAATTATTTGTCTGTAGAATTGAAAGCTGAATTTTTAATTTTGTTTAACCCTAAGTAAATTGTTCTTTAAGTTTTATATATGTTTAGGTTTCTTTTGTCAATTTCAGCTCTTTTAATATCCTAGATTAAAAATCCATATATTTTTTTAAAGTCATGTTGAAGTTTGTTTTTAATTAATGTGCAAATGTCAAAAAAATCTGGAGGCATAAAAATCTGCTAATAATTGAAGAAAAAAATACATTTTTTAAAATAATTGTGTTTATGTTTGTTTATATGCTGTCACATTTTATCCTCACTCGTGCATCTTTTCTGAAACCATATACCATATCTATTTGACAAATGAAATATGAGCCCTTTTAAGATTATGAAAAGTTAGCATATCAATTCTGATATTCAAAGTAAACACTAATCTATTGTCATTTATAATATTAACACTAGAACTGCCCCTTTTCATTATGCAAAATTCTCACAGAAAGGAAATGACGATTCCCACATTTCATATAAAGTCTGATTTTAGGCCTCCTTTCTGCAGGCTAGAAGGTCATAGTTCTTATTTGTGGAGTTGGACCAGTGCCTTATGAAGGTTTCCTGGTTAGGAGGATTTGTGCCTGTGCTCTGGTGGGTGGAGCTGGATCTTGTCTCTCTGAAGGGCAGTGCCTTGTCCAGTAGTGTGTTTTGGAGTGTCTATAGGTTAGGGAGTTGGTGATGGACAGGGAGGCCTGGCGTGCTGCGATTCATGGGGTCACAAAGAGTCAGACACGACTGAGCGACTGAACTGAACTGAACTGAACTGATGGGTTAGGTATGGTTTTGGGCAGTCTATCTGCTAATGGGCAGAGTTGTGTTCCTGTTTTGCTAATTGTTTGGCGTGAGGCGTCTGGCACTGGAGCGTGCTGGTCTTTGGGTGGGGCCAGGGCTCAGTGTTGAGATGGAGGCCTGTGGGAGAGTTCTCACTAATTAATGTTCCACGGGGTTGGGAGTTCTCTGGTGGTCCAACATCTGGTCGGGGCTCCCACCTCGGAGGTTCAGGCCCAACCCCTTACTGTAGCATCAAGACTCCATAAGCCACACAGCACAGAAGAGAAAGAAAAAGAGATAGAGGGAAAAGAGATGGAGGGCTTCTCTGGTGGCTTAGCAATAAAGAATCCGCCTGCAATGCAGGAGTCTCAAGTTTAATCCCTAGGTCTGGAAGAGCCCATGAAGAAGGAAATGGCAACCCACTTTAGTATTCTTGCCCGGAAAACCCCATGAACAGAGGAGTTTGGTGGGCTACGGTTCATAGGGTCGCAAAAGATTGGACAACTACTTAGTGACTAAAAACACAAAGAAATAAAGTACTGAAACTTACTACAACATGGTTGAACCTTGAAAATGTTACACTTAGTGAAATAATTCAAACATAAAAAAACACATAGTATATAATTTCATTTGTATGAAATGTTTAGAAAAAACAAATCCATAGAAGCGGATACAAGATCAGTGATTTTCTGAAGGTGGGAGTGAAGATTAATGGCTAAGTGAGGTGACAAAAATATTCTAGAACAGATTGTATTAATGATTGAACAACTCTGTAAGCTTACTAAAAATTTTTGAATTGAACATTTACAATGGCTGAATATTATGGTGGGTAAATTAGACCTCAGTAAAAGAATTATATATATAATATTTTTAAAATCTTTAAAATATCACTGTAATATATGCATAATGTTTAAATTTTAGATAATATGTATATAATAATTTTAAAACAGCTACAAAAATCTTTCACCTGTGCTCAGTATGCTGTGTAAATCAATGGTACATCAGAAATGCAAAAACTGATCTTTTTGGTACTCTATAATAGAGTGCTTGAAATGAAATTTGACATTTTTCTTGTTCATAGAATTATGCACAGAATTTTGAAGATTCAAAAGTACTGATGGAAGTAAATTGAAGGAAATTTCTACTTGCCAATAGATCAGAGAAGCAATTTCTTATTGCTCCCAAAAGAATTTTGCTAAAACATGAACAATTACTGTCAAATGCAAATAATCCACACTTGAAAGCTGTTGCTCTAAACAGTTCAAGTCTAGAGAAGATACTGACAGTCACAACCTCCAAAGAAAGGCTGTTACTCCATGATTCTATTATGAGGAATAAAGTTAGATAGTTGAGAGAAATTACTTATATGTTATTCCAAGTAGTTTTGCATGACTCTATTTGATTAGCTAATAAAAGTAATTGTGTTAATGAAAGCTTTCAGTCCAAGAGATTTCACAACTTCAGATTAGAGAATCTCTAAAAAGCTTAAGCTGCATTATGAACAAACAAATCCCACAAGAATTCATATATTTCCTGTTGGTAAGAAGTTTAAAACATATTAACATTAAATATGAAAACTACTCTCTCTTCTTATTATCTACAGTGCTAAAGACATAATTTCTTTAAATTGCCTCCAGATTGAATTTTGAAGAGTGTTCATATTTCTTCCTAAAGTATAAATTACATTCACATGCATACATCAATTAATTTAACAATGTAGTGGTTAAAAGCACTTTGGAATCTAACAGACCATCACATATTACTGTACATCCTTATACAATTAATTTCACATTTTTGAATTTCAATTTTCTTATATATAAAATGGAAATCATAATAAGACCTAACACACAGAATATTGTAATGGCATGTGTTAAGTGCAGGGCATATAAATATTAATTGCAAACTATAGTCATACCCTATACATTATGTATAATATTACTTTCAATTACAATGTGAGTTATTCATGACAGACAGGAGTTTCAATCATATATCTGTACCCAAAGGAAATTATTTCCTCTGAGTTCCATTTTACTTATCTAAAATGTCCGCACATTTAAAAATACATGATAATATCTACCTCACAGTATTATTGTGAGAATCACTTGGAATTGCATATGCGAAATGACTAGGATAGTTACTTTGTTGGAGTAAACACACTGAATTCTTTTCTTCCTTGTCTGAATGACAGGTAGTCCCTGAAGGATATGCAAACTGTTGTAATAACTTAAGGCTGAAGTTTGAAGTCAGCAAAGTTCCTTAGAACTTGTGGTCATTCATGGTAACAAGGAGATGATTTAAAAGTTAATGCTAAGAAATGACTGAGGGTTTCTGTTGCCTTTTCATGCTGAGTATTGATTTAAACCATTTTGTGTAGCTTTTCCTACTAGTC